TCTAGACGAATGTATGCTTTTACTTATAATAAAATAAATTATATTTTATAGGTAAAATAAATAAAAACTATATAGAAAATAGAAAATAAATAAAAACTGTATAGAAAATAGAAAATAAATAAAATATTAATAAAATAAAATATTTTATTCGTAAAATAAATAAAATACTAAATAAATAAATATATAAATATTTTAAATGAAAATCTCATTCATTGTACGCGACTTTCCATTTATAGAAGTCGCTTACAATGTACAATGTACGAGATTTCCTTGCTGAGTCATTCTTCGAGATCCACCTTATCTATGTCATGTTGGCACCTAAATCGCATCTATTATATGCGATTTTTGGCTTTGACTAGCACCTAACCTATTAGTTTGAATGTATAACTTAATTTTGTAATTTTTTATTTATACTACATTTATTTTGTTATTATTTTTAAATATACATTATTTTTGTAATTAGTTTTTTAAATTACATTATTCTTAAACTTTCTCCCTCATATATATGATTGTACAAATTTGTAATTTATGTCACTTTTTTTGTAAAATTTTAAATCTAATGCTATATATATAAACACATATTCTCTTTGTTATATCCTTATAATTCCCTTATCCTTCTAATTCCCCCTTTAAAAATCTCATCGATGTCTCGATCTTTTCCTTGAACAAATTAAGGATTAGTGACATTCAAGCTAGATGGAAACAAATTCCACTCTGTTGCACACGATGTCCAGATTGAGCATTCTTTCATCCACACTTTTTGTTAATACAACATGTAGGGAGGGAGGTTCGAACTCATACTTTTCTTTCATCCACACTTTTTGTTAACACAACATGTAGGGAGGGAGGTTCGAACTCATACTTTTTTAGTCCGATATAAGTACCTAAACTAGTTAAATTAAACTTTCCACCCACAATTTTGTGTGGTTCTTTACTCTTGCATGGATGGTAAGAGCATGTCACCCCATTGCCGTAAAGATTAGGCCTTCAATTTCCCTCCTTTGCATTGATTTCATAGTTGTTCTAGAAGAACCTCATTTTTATTTTTACCAAGAACAAGAAAAAAAAAAGAGAAAAAAAAAAGAGAGAGAAAACATAATATCTATATTCAGTTATCGAACAGCTATCAAATTAATGGTAGTTAGCTGGAAATTTTAGTAAGTAATGTTTTATATCTATATATATATTTTGACACATTGCTAATTGCATATATTAGAGTAATATATTACAAAAAAAAAATCATATATATAATGTTCATAGTCCAAATGAGATCAGCCCATCTTATTCTCATATTCCCCTCGCCTCGTAGCCTACAAATAAATAAAATAAATATAACACGATAACGAGTGATTATGTATAGAGAATAAATTAAGGATAATATTTGAGTGGTACTTTTTTTTTTTTGGTCAAACTATGTATAAAAATGATAAATACATATTTTATATGCATAACATTAGCTATAATTTTCAATCACTTTGGTCCCAGAACCAGTGTCAATATATTCACCTAAACTCTTATATTCCAAAGAATTTCAGATTCCAATTCAAAAAGTTCAGAAAGATTCAAGTGACCAATCTAATCTTCAATAAGAGTGAAGGAGAAGCTTCGAAAAGTAAAATACTATCCTTAAGAGTGAAGAAAAAAACACCGTGTCTGGGAGATTTTCAGTAAAGTAAACAAACTTTCTGGGCAAAGGCCAAAATCCCACAGCTTTTATGATTTCAATTCATATGAGTGAAAAACAAAACTAAGAAATTTTTGAAGTCCATAGCAAAGCATACCTTAACCAAGATGATGAAGCCTTCTTTTATCAGAAATGAAAGTGTTCTTGAATGTTTCAATCTACAGATTCACGATTTCGTTCAAGAATCAGATGAAGGAAGCTTGTGAAAGCAAGTAAACTGCAGCAACATTTCTTTTCTCAAATTTAAGAGTCCTATCCTTCGTTTTGGCGGCTTACACCAAACTCCATAATGTAGACAAAAATCCCTCATTACGGAGTGATTCTTGGTGTGATGCATTGTTGTCTTTTAGTTTACATGATATTCCAATAATGCAACTAAAACAAATGGGGGTAATGAGTAGATAAAATAGGCATAAAGAAATAAAAAGATGATGGGCAGCCGAAAATTTTACCTATCCACGCAGATTGAAAGCCATTTGTGAGTTTGCAAGTATGTAGCGAACAACTTCAAGTGAACTTTGCTCTCTCAATGGAGCTCACAGCACGACGATGAAGAATGCTGTCACGAGTTAAGAAAAGGGGGCAGGTGCTCGTGTCGTGAGCTTGCAGGAGACAGCTTTAACTGTGGCAGATTGAATTTCTAGTGCTACGGTACTGGGCACGACTACTCACGTATGCAGCAACAACCAATGTCTGTTCAAAGATTCCATCTGGTAAGAAACAAACTTCGCAGGGTGATCAAACAGTCCACCAAGTATGATCACCAATAAGAAGAAAATTGAAGCTCAATATTGTTGCACGTTTAGACAATAATTATGTTTCGAATTCTAAATGGAATAGGCTGTGAAGTACGGAAAAAGGTAATCGTTAGGCTTGAAACACCCTTTTAAGGTTTCTATTCTACAGTGGATAAGAACCATGGTCAGACACAAACAATAAAATTAGTGATTTTATTGCCGAGGAATTTAACAGTAAAGGAGGCAAAACATGTTAAGAAAAGAAATTGTACAAATAGGCTTTGAAAGTCAGTAGATCATTGGAAACGTTGAGAGTTGAAATGAACTTTCCCATTAAAGAAGACTTCCTATCGGCGCTAGAAATGTAAATATGAAATTTGAGATGCAGCTGCTGAGTTGTGATAAGAGAAGAACAATAAAGAAATTGGAACTAAAATTAAAACATAAGGACTAAAAATACAACTTAACCATAAGATAAATCATAGGTCATTTTTGTAACCAACCTTCCCTTCAAATCATTCAACTGGACTTGATAGTTCAGTGACTTGGTGAGCAATTTCACCGACGACCTCCTTGCATGTTTCAAGTGATATATGGCCATTTTTTAGACCAGCCGAGAAAATCACTAGCCAGGTAAACGAGAGTCAAAATCACCAGTAATTACCGCACGAGCATTCACCATTCTTGAAATGGTGAAACCTCTTTCCATCTCTCACTACTATCTCCCTCCTCACCACTTTAGACATGAACTTGAATGCATTGTGGCAATCCCCACAGATCCTAAGGTTCTTGAAAACCCTAACCGTGGCACCTTTAGGGAGCTTCATTAGCCCAAACCCAACTGCAAGCTTCTCACTGTGAGTAGACAAAGCATATTCTTTATGTTCAGATTCCATATCATGTAACACATACTTTGTATCCGGAATATATCCTAGTTTCTTCATTTCAAGGCTTAGTTGCTCCAAATAATTGTAGACAGATAGCACCTCAGGATGCACAGTATCATCCACCAAAAAGACATGAACCTTGTTCTCAACCTCAGTCCAACTACAAGCAGGCTCCTTCTTGACCCCTCGATCTCTCATCAGTTTCCGCACCCTTGCAACATCATTCCACCGGCCAACATTGGCATACATGTTTGACAAAAGTACATAGGTTCCATCGTGTTGTGGCATTAACTCAAAAAGCCTTTCAGCAGCTTCTACTCCTAAATCCATGTTTCCATGAATCCGACAGCCAGCAAGAAGAGCCTCCCACATTGGTGCCCCAGGTTTGCAAGGCATGGAATCAATGACATTCTTTGCATCTGAGAACTTCCCAGCTCGACAAAACAAATCGATCATCCGAGCATAATGATCCTCACCAGGAGTAATGCCATAAGTTTCAGACATTGAATTAAAATACTTGTGTCCTTCATCAACCAAACCTGCATGACTACATGCAGAGATAACAGTAAGAAATGTTATTCTATCGGGGAGTATACCCTCTTCCAACATTCGTTCAAAAAGTTCTATTGCTTTTACACCATGCCCATGCTGTCCCAGTGCTGCAATCATCGCATTCCATGAAACCGAATCCACAAAAGGCATAGTGAGGAACAAAGATTTTGCAGCTTCAACCACTCCACATCTTGCATACATTGAGATCATTGCATTGCCAACTGAGAGGCTTGAATCGTGACCAAGATGAATAAGCTGAGCATGGAGCTGGCGACCATTCTCCAATGCTCCAAGCACAGAACAAGCTGTAATTGCTCCTGCAAATGCATAATCACAGGGTTCATAACCATCTAACCTCATTTGGTTAAACAGCTTCAAACCCTCTTCCCCAAATCCATTTTGTGCTAATCCTGAAATCATCACAGTCCAAGTAAGAAGGTTTTTCTCTGGCATTTCTACAAAGAAAGACTTTGCCTCCTCCATCCGCCCTGAATTCACATACCCTGATAAGATTGCATTCCAAGTAACAATATCTTTAATTGGCATCTCATAAAAAATCTTCCGTGCCCCATCAACTTTACCGAACTTCCAATACAAAGTAATCAATGCATTACTCACAGACAATATAAAATCATGATTTGGGTTGAGCTCATTTTTTAGAATGTAAGCATGCACCTGTTTTCCCAGTTGAAAAAAACCACCATTGGCACAAGCACTAATCACGCTTGTGTAGGTGAACTCATCATGCTGGACTCCAAGCAAACGCATTTTCCTAAACAATGTTAAGGCTTCCTGGAAAAGACCATGGTGCACATATCCAGAGATCATTGAATTCCATGCTACCCCCAGCTTTTCAGTCATTGTATCAAGAAGTCCGTGCGCTCCATTCAGATCATCATTCCGCACATACCCAGTAATCATTGTTGTCCATGTTAATTCATCCCTCTCTGGCATTTCATCAAAAAGTTTCCTAGCTGATGCCATTAGTGAAGATGATAACACTAATGGTGAAGATGCACATTTAACATAAACAGATAGGAGAGCGTTTAACACTGAAGAAACAAGCCCAGTTCCAGATTTTACCACCGCACCATGAATTTGGCTACATTGCTGCTCATTATCAACAATAAGTGCCAAAGCACTGAGCACGCTAGTAAATGTAAAGTCATCAGGCTGAAAATTACCCCGTCTCATAGCATGAAACAGTTCAAGAGCAGAATGACCATCATCATTGTGCGAATAGCCAGTAATCATAGCGTTGTAGAAAATAGTGTCCCTCATGACCAATGGAGTCCCATTGAATATTGCTCTAGCCAGACTTAGATTCCCCACTGCAGAGTATGCCGTGATCAATGTAGTCCTCGCTACAGCATCTGGGTTGGGAATTTCGTCGAACAGTTGGCGCGCATACACAAGATTTGACGATTTCCAGTATACGTCGAGCAGGCGATTGACGAGATGCCCACGAGGCTTGAATCCCGAAGCAATCATGTGGGCATGGACAGTCCGAGCAAGTGAAAAGGAAGAGGGATTCTGTGGGCAACAGAGTTGCAATTGTGCGGCGTACCGGTTTGCAACCACGCGGATGCCCAACGAATTTCTCATGGTGTTTGATGGGAATTAGAAGCATCGTTCCGATTTAAACAGTAAACTTGTAGAAATAACTGAGTTAAGAATCAATGGCGTGGCAATGAAACTTGGAGAATCAACATCAAACCTGAAAATTCTCGAGCTTTTCATCCTCCATGACGTTCTGAATAAAGCAGGTTCCCGTACTTGTCTGTATGTCATTTTACAGACGCCCATTATGTTGAAGAAAATTCTAATAACTTCTGTTTCATTCCAAAAGAAAAAAAAAAGAATGAAGCAATACTCAAACAACTTCACAACAACTCAATATGCTCTTAGATCTTCCATAGCTATGCTAAAACACATTCTTCATTATCAACGTTTCATAATTAATATCATAAAATCATGTGTCATGAACAAATACAGCAGTCACATGAGTTCATTCAGCATGCAAACCCGCACACACACGCTCTCAAGCTACTTACAACACGCCCAACACTGTTAGCACTTGATCCAAGATTTAGAATGTTAAACTCAGTCCCGACAACCTTAATCGAGTCAGCAAGGGTATTACGAAGAGTTGTTACCTACTGACCCTCACAGAACGGTTTGTGTCGGTGCTGTATTGATGTCGAAAAGGCAGGGGTCCACGCGCTGCTGTTCGTGCTCTGCTCGTCCAGTTAGTTCGTGGCTGCAGATCGACGCGCGCAGAGGAGGAGCGTCGCTCTGGTTTTCTCGTCAAGGGGTCGCCGCGCCGCCGCAGGATGTCGCCGGAGAAGAAGAAATCGGGGGAGGGGCGGCGGCAGTGAATGGTCTTACGCTCGCTCCCAATCTTTAAATATTTTAAAATATATACTCATCCACTCTTATAACATTTTTTTTCCCTAAGTACCCTGGGATGTGTTTTGATATTTTTTTTAAATTCAAATTGAAAAAATTGTAAAAGTTAATTTTAAAAACGTATGTTATACTTTTCAAATGGACTCACTTCCATGAAATCGAAGAGATCATAGATCTTAATAAAAGTAACATCAACGTTTTGAATGTCGATATCGATCGAGATATTGAAGCCTCAAATTCGTATAAATGTCGATAGAATATGGTGGATATTTATAGAAATAAAAAAATATTTAAATAACAGATAACATTTCACCATTTATAATTAAGTTTAAAATAATTAATACGATATTTATGATATTTTTGTAGATATTTTTCATATTTTGTCGATTTATCCCGTGGATGGCAATGGAAATTTAGTACCTGAGTAAGATTTATTTTATTTATAAATTATATTTTTATTATTTATTTTAAAAAGGTTAAATTTAGAGTAAAATACATTATTTGTCTTAAGATTTGAGATTAATGTCTATCTAGTGGTTGAGATTTGAGATTAGTAACCATTTGATCCTATGTTTTAAAATGGGACACTTTCATTCTTGAAATTCAATAAATGGTTCAAAATGGTCATACTATTAATCGACTAATGAAAATTTGACGTGAGGAACAACTCAATCACCTCATTTAATGTTAACTCTGATTACATATTCATTTTAGAGTCATATCTTTCACTCTTCCCTTCCAATGAGAAGATCCAATTTTACATATATATATATATATACACAAAAATATAATTTAAAATTCCTATTTTTTATTATGTAAAATTTCTTAAAGAGAATTAATAATTGTATAAATTTTATCGGTAAATTACTTTTTTTTTAAAACTAAGTTATATCTTCTACAGTCATCTCGACGATCTGCAGAACATTTGGAGGAGGCGATTGAGGAAATCCCCACGAGGCTGGATTCAGTGGGGATCCCGCAGTGAACCATAAAGAAGACACCAGAATTATTATTTTTACAAGTTCCGTTGCCGGGACTTGAACCCAGGTCTCTCGGGTGAGAGCCGAGTATCCTAACCAACTAGACTACAACGGGATTGTAACTTGTAATCAAGAGCAAAATTTAAACAATAAATTTAACTTTTATCAATAGTGAGAAATTGAATTGGAAAAATATTAAAACATAATGGAGTAAATTAAAACTTTATGAACAATAGATACTAAATTGAAAAAACACTAAATATTAGGGATTAAACAAATATTTAGCCTAAAATTTAATGAATATTAAAAAAATTACAATAAATAGCTGAAAATAAACGTGACTTCTTTTTATATTTTTTTTTAGTACAACGTGACTTTTTACTCTTTTTCAATGATGTCACAAAATTAACTTTTAATTGGTCTCGTGATTGTATAAGTTTACTATTTATGTTATTTTTGTAAAATGATAAACTTAATACCAACACATTCCCTTTTGTACTTTTCCCCCTTTTTTGTAATTCCCTACAAAATTTTTCATAAAAGGAATGCTTTTTTTTTAATACAAAACATTGAAAACTTGAGGTTTAAAACTTATCTAAAAAAAAAAAAGAAGAGATGTTGGGTTGAGTAACAAGAAGAGTAATTTTGTATTTATAATAATAACACTATAGATCAATCTTAGTCGGTTACATCAAAATAGCTACCGCTACAAAATTAGCATCCATCATATTTGAGTTGGCTAATCATATTCAGAATCAAAACAGTTTTTTTTTTTTTCCGAAGCACCATAGTTAAGTGAAGTCCCCACTTCTGAGAGCAGCTTCTTCCACCAACGAGTTCCAGTTCGTCATCAAGCAATAATGGTGCTGGGTACCTACTACTAATTATCATTAAAATTAATGACAATAAAAAAGAGATGAAAGAATAAAAGAAGAGAGAGAGGTGATTTTTTAAAAAATAATAATAATAAATAGCTCTAATTTTTAATGGTATTATTCCATTTACGGCATAATTAAAGTAAAAAAAAAAAATGTTAGGCAGCCGTGAAGCGTTGAGAAATAAAACAAGAGGATAAAGAAACAAAAACTTCACCTTTCCACGCAGATCGAAAGCCATTTGTGATGTGAGTTTGCAGGTAGGGAGCGAACAATTTTAACTGAACTTTACTCTCCCAACGGTGCCCACAGCACGATGACGAAGACTGCAGTCATGAGTCCAGAAAATGAGGCGGGTGGGCACTGGTGAGTTTGTAGGGACACAGCTTTAACTGTGTCAAGCCCACCGCCTGCAGTACGACTGACATATGCAGCAACCAACAATGTCTGTTCAACACTCAGCAGTTCGAGTTCCATCTGGTAAAAAGCAAACCACTTCACAGGTAAGAGTGATAAAAAAAATACAAGTATGATGACTATAAGAAGAAAATTGAAACTCAATAATGGTACACGTTTAGACAGTAATTATGTTTCAAATTCTAAATGGAATAGGGTGAACTGATGAAGAATGAAAAATAGAATTCGTTGTACAAGAAACATTCGTTTGATGTTTATATTGCATTGTGCATAAGAACTAGTGGTCTGACCCAAACAACATAGTTAGTAATCAGCTATATTTAACAGCAAAGGAGATAAAAAAAACATGTTAAGAAAAGCAATTATACAGATAGAATATGAAGGTCAGCAAAACAATGAGAGTTGAAGTTATTAAAGATGACTTCTGCTGTGCTAGAAAAATGAAGCAGTGATACAGATGATTGGTCAGTTTTAATCGAAGGACGGAAACAATAACGAAGATTTCAAAATCATAGGACCATATTGGAACTAAAATGAAAACTTTCGGACTAAAACTACAACTAAACTGTTAAACTAATATCAGGTCATTTGTCTAACCAACCTTTACTTTGAATCATTCAACTCGCTTTGCTAATCCATTGACTTGGAGCTCAATTTCACATATGACCTCCTTGCATGTTTTGGGTGATATATGGCAATTTTTGAGATCCACAATTAAAACCACTAACCAGGTAAATGAGAATCAGAATCACCAGTAATCACCACACGAGCATTCACCGTTCTTAAAATGGTGAAACCTCTTCCTATCCCTCACTATTATCTCCCTCATCACCACTGTAGACATGAACTTGAATGCATTATGGCAATCCCCACAGATCCGAAGGTTCTTGAAAACCCTGACTGTGGCACCTAGAGGGAGCTTCATTAGACCAAACCCAACTGCAAGCTTCTCACTGTGAGTAGACAAGGCATGATCCTTTTGTTCAGATTCCATGTCATGTAACACAAACTTCGTGTTGGGGATATATCCTAACTTCTTCATTTCAAGCCCCAGCTGCTCCAGGTAATTATAGACAGATAGCACGTCAGGGTGCACAATATCATCCACCAAGAACACATGAACTTTGTTCTCAACCTCAGTCCAACTACAAGCAGGCTCTTTCTGGACCCCTCGGTCTCTCATTAATTTTCGCACCTTAGCAACATTGTTCCACTGACCAACATCAGCATACATGTTGGACAAAAGTACATAGGTTCCATCGTGTTGTGGCATAAGCTCAAAAAGCTGTTCAGCAGCTTCTATTCCTAATTCCATATTCCCATGAATCCGACAACCAGCAAGAAGAGCCTCCCAAACTGGTGCGCCGGGTTCAGAAGGCATGGTGTCAATGACATTCTTTGCATCTGAGAACTTCCCAGCTCGACAAAATAAATCGACCATTCGAGCATAGTGATCTTCACCAGGAGAGATACCATAATGTTCAGACATTGAGTTAAAATAATGACGTCCCTCTTCAACCAAACCTGCATGGCTACATGCGGTGAGAACTGTAAGAAATGTTATTCTATCGGGGAATATGCCCTCTTTCAACATCCGATCAAAAAGTTTTATTGCTTTTACACCATGCCCATGCTGCCCAAATGCTGCAATCATTGCATTCCATGAAACCGGGTCTACAAAAAGCATAGTGAGGAACACAGATTCTGCAGCTTCAACCACTCCAGATCTTGCATACATTGAGATCATTGCATTGCCAACAGAAAGGCTTGAATCATGGCCCAGGTGAATAAGTTGAGCATGGAGTTGGCGACCATTCTCCAATGCTCCAAGCACAGAGCAAGCTGTAATTGCTCCTACAAATGCATAATCACAGGGTTCAAAACCATCCAACCTCATTTGCTTGAACAACTTCAAACCCTCATCTCCAAATCCATTTTGTGCCAGTCCTGAAATCATCATAGTCCATGTAAGAAGGTTTTTCTCTGGGGTTTCTTCAAAGAAAGACTTTGCTTCCTCCATTCGCCCTGCATTCACATACCCGGATAAGATTGCATTCCAAGTAACAATATTTTTAACTGACATCTCATAAAAAATCTTCCCTGCCACATCAACTCTATCATTTTTCCAATAGAAAGTAATCAACGCATTACTCACAGACAGCAAAAAATCATGATTTGGGTTCAGTTCATTTTTTAGAATGTAAGCGTGCACCTGTTTTCCCAGTTGAAAGAATCCACCATTGGCACAAGCACTGATTACACTTGCGTAGGTGAACCCATCATGCTGAACTCCAAGCAAACGCATTTTCCCAAACATTGCCAATGCTTCCTGGAAACAACCATGGTGCACATATCCAGATATCATGGAATTCCATGCCGGCCCAAACTTTTCAGTCATTGTATCCAGAAGCTCACGTGCTCCATTCAGATCTTCATTTCGCACATACCCAGTAATCATCGTTGTCCATGTTAACTCGTCCCTCTTTGAAATTTCATTAAACAGTTTCCTTGCTGAAACCATTGCTGAAGATGATACCGTCAATGATGATGCACACTTGACATAAACAAACAGAAGAGCGTTCAACACAGAGGAAACACACCCCATTCCAAATTTCACCACTGCACAATGCATTTGACCACACTGCTTCACATTATCAACAATAAGCGCTAAAGCACTGAGAACGCTTGTAAATGTAAAGTCATCTGGCCGATAATCATCGGATCTCATAGCATGAAACAGCTCCAGCGCAGCATGACCATCATTATTGTGCGAATAACCAGTGATCATTGCATTGTAGAAAACAGTGTCCCTCATATTGAACGGAGTTCCATTAAATATTTCTCGAGCCAGTTTCAAATTTCCCGACGCAGAATATGCCTTAATCAAAGTGGTACTTGCTATAGCATCTGGGCTAGGAATTTCGTCAAACAGTTGGCGCGCATACACAAGATTCGACGATTTGCAATATACTTGAAGGAGACGATTGAGGAAATGCCCACGAGGCTTGAATCCAGAAGCAATCATGTGGGCATGAACAGTCCGAGCAAGTGAATAGGAAGCCGGATTCAATGGAGAACATAGTTGCAATTGTGCGGCGTACCAGTTTGCCATCATGCGGACTTCCAATGCACTTCTCATGGATTTTGATGGGAATTAGATGCATAAACACGAAGCTTGTAGTAATTATTGTGTAAAAATCCATGGCGTGACGATCAACCATATAGAAGCAACATGGAACCTGCAAAAATAGGGAGCTTTCAGTCCTCCGTAGCGCGGATGAAGATGAAGCTTATTGTCTTCAATAATTTAAGCCAAATTTCAAAAGAGACAAAAACAATATTTAAAAAATTTAAGCCAAGTTCTCCATAGCGCGGATGAAGACGAAGCATTTTGAATTGCTTGACTGATATACTACTGTTTGTTAAGACAGTGAGGCTCACGCTTTTTTACAGTCCAGAATTCCTTTAACACTTAAAATTTCATGACATACCACATATATAAATGAAGTAGCCACTCAAGCATTCTACTGACTCTGAGTAAAGAATGTGCTCAATATTCCAACAGAAAAATTATAATGTAAACATAAATATAATTTTCTAGAGAAGGAATTGTCAAGAACTGATAAACAATGGACAAATCTAACCTAGAGGACTCGTTGATGATGGAAAACCAAAACGCTAAAATCAAGAAATGCGAGCTGAGATCATAACTTGTGGAAGTTTTCCAAGAACACATATCTAATGAATAATGAGAAGCGAGCTAAAATTGAGTACTCAAAAAACTGCTATTAAATCAAGTAAAGGAGATTCACCTTTTGCCTTATTTTGTCGCAGGCTCTCGCTACTGATGTTGAATCGACGCAGGCCGTCGCGGGCAGAGGAGGGTCGCCGTCGTTCGTCGAGTTTTCGCGTCGTGGTGTTGGCGCCGCTACCGTCCATACTACATGGGTTCGCCGGAGATCACGCCGTCGCTGCTGCCATAGCCATAGGTGTCGCCGATGGAACGGTGAAGGGGGACCAGGGCTCTTCACGAGGGAGCAAGGGCTGGACTGTGGAGGGCATAATGTGGGTTTAGATTTAAGGGCATAATGGTCAAAATGGGAAATTTATTTCGTACAAATTCCAAAAATTATCAATTTTTTTTAGTAAAAATCAAAATTTGGAAATGGGGGTTTCATCTATATCCAAATCCATATTTATTGGAATGTGAACGAACAAGTGAAGATAGTTCAACTCGCTAAAATACCTATTTTTTGAATTGTGAGTTCGAATCCTCGTTCCTACATATTTTACTAAAAGAAAAGTAAAAAATATTAGTTGAATCATACTTTATTGACACGCATTTCTTAATTCTGTGATGATATGCAGACGTTAGGGAGTTGAACGAGCTTGGATCAACGAAATAAAATCCAAATCTCTCACTTTGGTTGCTTGTAACTTCGTATGGTCCTTGAGAAAAGAATCGCTGAACTAACTCTATTGTCAAATTTGTTCTTCAATCTCATTCTTATTACTCTTGGTTACACAACATTTTCCTTGCATTCTCTTAGGCCTGGTTAGTTTTATGTGTTTAAAAATTATGTTTGCTTCTTAATTTGTTTAGTATATTTGCTACTTCCATTTAAAATACATATGATTAAAAGTCAAATTTAAAAAACCAGATTTTATTATTATTATTTTTTTAACGTTAGCTTTGATTTTGAAAAGTTTTTAAGAGTAGATAAATAAAATAAAGAAAAAAATGGAAGTTGGGTTTATAAGCTTAATTTTCAAAAATATAACATTACAAATAAAATATTTATCAAACAAGGACATTAAATCTTTTAATTTCAATGGTTTAATTTTTCCACTCCTTGCCTTCAACATGGGGCTAAAAATAATATCTAGAACATATATATATATTATATTAATCAATTGAGCTATCATATTTGCTCCCCAATTATTTCAAATGCTCTCATTAAGCCACATTTAATGTCATTCTTATACTTTACCATCATTTTTTTACACCAAATTTCAGAGTGGAGATTTAGAATTAATAATAGATATCTTAACTGTTTTGTTTAGTTATCTTCATATTGACTACTTAGCTAATTGGGCCTTTTAATTTTTCAACCCACACAAAAGATTCCTTATCACTAAATTTACCATATATACCTAAATTCCAAATTGAGATGTTACAAGAAATTTGGAAGGAGAGAAGAGAGAAAGAAATGTTCGTTTTTTATTGAACGAATGTGAAAAAATAAAAATAAAAAAGAGTGTCAATTCAAACATAGTTCAGGTGGATAGAATACCTAATATCATTTGAAAGATTTATGGTTCAATCCCCATCTAAAATGGTCAAACTTAAACAAGAAAAATGGCAGAAGGATAGCAAAGCCACGTGATATAGTTTTAATTGGAATACTTTTTCAAAATATCAAGGATACAAATATTAAATTTTAACAATTAAACGGGAGCAAAAGTTACACAAAATCTTATAAACCAAATATTAAAAAAATAATAAAGAAAAGAAAAAAGAACGCCCATAATTTTAGCATTACAATAACAGATATATTATATCCAAAATAAAATCAAAATTTTAAGATAAATTAATATTTCAATCCTATGATTTGGGCTTATACTTTAGCCTCATGGTCTTAAAAATGCTTCAATTTGGTTTTTATAAATTGGTCAAAATCTAACAAATCATCACTATCATTACATGGAAAAACTCAAGAAACTAAATTGCGTTAACAAACAGTATCTATATCAAACTTTAAAAGTTAGTAAAAAAAAATGATAGGTTTTCGAGTGAATAAAAAATAACTTAAGAATGATTTGTGAAGCATATTAAAACTAAAWTCAACAAAATTGGTACTTTAAAACATTAAACCAAATTGACAATTTAATCAAATTTTAGATTCAAGGTTAAATATACATTTTAGTCCCTAACATTTGAATATTTTTCAATTTCATCCCTTATATTTTAACAATTTTTAATTATATCATTCTTGTCGGTAAATATTAAAAAATATACTATAAATTACCCTGTTAAAAAAATAAAAGTCGATAATTTTGCCCACATCTAAAAAATTTGGAGAATTTTTCCTCTTTGGGACTTAATTCTCCCTCTAAATTTTTTACTTTGTAGTTCACTAAGCATGCTATTAAATAAGTTCATCATTTTTTCTCAAGATAATAATAATAAATAAATAAGTTCATCATAAACCACTTTTAACATTCACCCATAGAAAGACTACAATTAAAAACAAATCGAGCAAAAAATTGAAAGGAAAAAAAACCGCTCCAACAACAACAAAGACTTAAACATATATTCATCCTAAATTAAAGAACTCTTTATTACATTTAAACTAGCATGACATTTGATTCAGTAGCCAAAAAAAAAAGGAGGCGCAAGCTAAACTAGAAGCAAAATTAGCTGAGAGAGACAAAGTTGCACTCACTCGAAGAGAAGATCAGAACAAAAAGACCGCCATTGTTGCCATCTGCCTTTGCCTCTGCAACTTTTCTGATCCATCACCACACAAACACACCTTGGAGATGCAGTTACCCCTCCTTGAAGTCAAAACAAAAGCTTCATTTCAAATCTTAAACCCAACCCCCATTTCCCCTTCCTCCTCCTTTGGTGGTATTTACAGTGACAAAAAGTGTTGTTTTACAGAATTACACAATTAAGATTACAGTTGGGACAAAAGGTAAGAAGAACCCATTAAACTACACGTGAAATTGGACAAAAGAAGTACAAGAAACCACCCAGAAGAAGAACCCATTAGGCTTTACAGGTGGAAACTTGAACAAAAAGTAACAGAAACCCAGAAGAAGAGAGAAGGAAAAGGGCAAAAGAAAACGAGGGTTTTACTTTCTTTGGGGATTAAGGATTTGGAATTGGAAGTTTTACCAAAAAGGTCTGGATCTCTTAAAGCCTGCAGATGGGGTAGCAGTACTTGTGATCTGTGGCACAGTGAAACCATCATCTGTCCACACAGATCTATTGACTACTTTTGATGAATTTATGCCTAATTCCTTTGTCTCCTTCAACCCATTATTGGTATTACTATTATTCATCGTCATTAATCCTGAACCATACAGCGCCGGTGGTGGCCCCTGAGGGACCCAAAGCTCCAAACTTTCCGATGATGAAAAACAACCGTCAATTTCACCTTCCACAAATGGCAATCCCACTCCTCCACACTGCAACTTCAAACAAAAACAATGATCAGATCAGTCAAATCATCTCAGTAACCCACATCACAGATTCCTCAAACTTTCTGATGAACTTCGCAGTAATAATAATAACAGAAACAAACCTCCACAAAGGGGGGAGGAACAGAGGAATCGAGGAAGTCTTCGAAGTGCCACCCGGGGAGTGTCTCCATCAAATATTCCGATATGCTACTCGCCAAGCCACCGCCGCCGGTCGGAATCAGACCTCCGCCGCCCTTGTTCACCGCTGCCGCCGGGGGAATGTTCTGTGGGGCATTTACGCGAACACTTGGTGGGCATGTTATTGGGGCAGGGGAAACGGCTGGTGGGTTCTTAACGGAACGCTTTGACTTGGGATCAGAAACACCACGGCCACCACTTCCGATCGGCTTCTCGCCCGAGGGCGGCGGCGTGTACAGAGCGGCAGTGGTGGAGAGCTTAACACCAGTCAGAAGAAACCTGTCGTGCTTCTTAGTGAGTTCGTTGGCCGAATGAATCGGATCATCGCACTCTCTGCACAGAATCGCTCTGTCCTGCTGACAGAACAAGAAACCTCGCCGCTCCTAAAATAAATCACATTCCAAACAAAAACAAAAAATCAAATCAGACTCACATCGGAAAAACAGAGTAAACCCCCCAAAATTTCAGCCAGAACTCAGATCTTAGGCCAAACCCGGCAGACGTCACAGACGGGGGCCTCCGCCGCGGATGGGCGGAGGAGGGAAAATCGCCGGTGCTTCGAAGCGAGCTTATTGGCATGGTGGACGCGGTGGTCGCAGAGATTACAGAGCACCGCCTCGTCCGCCGTACAGAACACCGAGGCATCGCCTTTTTCACAGACATCGCACTGAATCTTCATATCTTGGAGATGGGTTTTTCGCCGGAGCAATCTGGAGGAACTCTGTGATGGAGAAGAAGCAATAATTACAGAATATAATAAGAATGGCGGTACATCCCGGCGATCTTGCACAGTGAGGAAAAAGAGATTATTTGATATTAAAAAAATGAAGAGAGGGAAGTGAAGTAATTAATTAGTTTAATTGAGCAAACCCACTTTCTTACAGTAAAAGCAAAATAATCATTTTTTTCTAATGTTCATCTTTAAAGGGACAGCAGAAGTTATAATGGAAAGCCACTGTTAATTTTTTTAAAATATAGTTTAAAAGATCTCACAAATCTCAACTCCAAATAAAATATATACATGTATAGAGAACGTGATACTGGTGATGGTAACCCTTCTTTGGGGGTAAGGTTAGTTTTGGAGTATGACTTTTGGACATTCATATATATATATATATATATATATATATATATTTCTCAAATGATTGAGTATGGGAAGTTTTTCTTCCAAAGAAAAAAAATTATATAATATACCCTGAGAAACATCGAAAAGATTAAGATTTGGAGTATGGATTCAAACATCTAACATTTTGGCCTAATATTGAGAGTTATGCTCGAATTAGCAGATGGACATAGATTTATGTTGTATGTTTATGGTCAATTTAAAATTAATAGGGGTAGAGAAGGTAGAATTGAGAATGATTCTGATTAATTTTTATGTTTGTTAAATGTTAGGTTTGGTCTCTAAATATTTAGAGTCATTGAATTTCAAGAACATTCCTAACTTTTCGATGTTGCGTCGAATAGATCTTTAAACTTCAAGAAATGTTTAACATATCATCGAGCTTTTAATTTTGTATTTATTTTAAAAAGGATCAAACTTGTAATTTAACATTGTAGCTTTTTTTTTTCTCTTCTTTTTAATGAGAATAGGAGTGTCATCACTTAATTTTGAATTTTGCTTCTATGTAATCTTTGTCGTTAGAATTTAATGATCAAACGTTTTGATTTAAAGCATGTCATTTTACCTAAGGCTCATGTAGTCATGCCACTTTATTTTTTGTTGGTGAACGTTTCACGTCCTTTCTCCACATTGTGCTAAACGAATTAATTTTTGTTCAATAATGATAAGAACTACATGTATCAACCTGAATATAGCTTAACTAATTAAAGTATTTATCTTCGATCGTGACTTTGAATCCTCAATTAATCTCTTATGTTATATTAAAAAAACAATAAGAACTAAAAAAAAAAAACCCATAACTAAAAATTTATAGACACAATTGAAACTTTTCAAACTTTCTAGGCAAAATTAAACTCAACCATTAAAGTTTATAGAATAAATGTGCAATTTAACCTAAAACTTAATTAAACATTCCATATCTCCAAAGTTAAATAAACCATGAAAAGTAACAAAAATTTAAAATTAATCTTTGACATTTCAATAGATAATTGTCTTAATAAGAAGAAACTTAAAAAACCATATTAGCTCACACTTAACCATATTCGTAGTTAAATGGATGAATATCAGAACCTCTCAATTTATTTATTTGTCACGATATGCACCACAAAATTCTATGGAGTATGTTACTATAAATACAATTAAGCAAATCACATATTAAATAAAGATTAAAAAAAAAACAGTGAAGGATGTAGCATGAACATCAAATATGTCTTACATGAAACATGTTTGCTTATCTTATCAAATCATACCATCATATTTTGTCTCTTGTCTTGACTTACATTATAATTTATTCTAATTAGAACTAAAAATGTGGCAATTAGATTTATGCAACTCTTAGTTAAAGTTTTTCTTTTTTGAAAATGACTTATTTATTTAACAATTAAATTTACGAAAATATATATAATGTTGGACTAAGGAATAAAATTTATACACACAATTATTCCCCACGAGAAATGAACAAGAACAATATAATGTGACTAGACTGTTATTTTACATTAATTAAATAATAAAAATTCAAACTCATTTTGAAGTCTAATGCTTGACCTGACTTCAACGTCTATTCTCATTATAGACCACTCACATCAGGGAAATGAACCAAAAAAAAAAAAAGTTTCTAAATTAAGTTTTTATTAAATTATTTGCTAAAAAAAGAAGGAATAAATTTTATACAAAAATAAAGGACTAATTTATATATTTCATATTTAGAAACTAAAATAAAATAATTTAAAACTTCTAGGGGCAGTCTTATAATGTTACTAAAGGTGAAAATTGAAAGTTTTAAAAATTCATCAAATGGTAAACACATAAAGTGAAATATAGTCATTAAAGGTCATTTGTTACTAATGAATTTGAGATGATTATTTAGAGTAATATTTTCCATGTGAAATATTTTTTAACAGTTTTTTTCCCCCAAAAGATAGCAACAATGAATTATTTTCTCTAAATTTTTTTAAGTTAATTTAAAGTAATTTTTATGGGTCCCTAATATTTGTACTATTGTATATGTTTAATCTTATTGTTATCAAATGTTTAAAAGTTCATTGATGTCGGGACAACTTTTTATTTTTTAAATAAACACATACCCCTTTTGGGGAGAATATAATTTGGAGCAAGTAGAGAATAGTTGGAGTATATATAATAATTTACAATTTAAATCATATAAAATTTTAAATGATTATCTTCAAACAAATTTAATTATTTATTAAGTATCAATATAAAATAATTTAAATAATACGTCTACTATTTAGTCATTGTAATTAAATCACAACAATTTAGTAGCAATTTACCAAACATTGTAATTTTTATTCAAGTTTAAAGTTGAAATTTACCCAGTACTAATTTACTTCGTATTAAAGCTAATTTAACAGCCAGTCAATTTCAAACTAAAGTACTGTAAAAGAAAAATCCAAAATAAGTCTAATTTAGAATGTGTTTCTAGTATAGTTTTCTAAATTATTTTTTTATGGCTAAAAATACTTAAAAAAAAAGACAAATCTACTGTTAGGTAATAAATAAAAATCATATTTGAAAATAAGATTGGAGTAAAAATACTTTTTAAAGCCGTAGTTGACCTAAATTATATTATTTTCAAATTTATCTCTATCTGTTTTATGCATTTTTTTTTAATTTTATTTTAGCCTCAACAACATGTGCAACAAGCCATAGCTAGATGCTTCATAGATAATATATATTTTTTCCCATTATTAGAGCTTGAAGTAGTTTCAATGCTTCATTGATGAATAAGCCACAAGCCTCAATTTGAATTGTATCACATGCACATGCCCCTTTTTATTATTATTTTATTGAGTTCAGCGAGTTATTAACACGAACCTCGAATTAGTAGGGGAGTAAATAATACTATGATTAGTCGATAAAATTTGACTCGCTCATTAACAACTTTTTTTTATATAACCTGTCACGTGTCTAAATATGTTAATAAAACAATAATTTAATAAGACATGAGTTTTTGTCAAAAATTTTAATAGTATTTTTTTTTCGAAATAAATTTTTGAAAGATTAAGAGTGAAATTAAGAATTACCTTGAAGACTAGGATAATACAGCGGAGTATTTAGTTATTGAAATGTTACATCGTCACAAATACGAGTCAATGTGGAGATTTGAATTTATGACCGTTAAAAGAAGTAAAACGTCATAACTATTAAATAGTGCTCACGTCTGGTCTTAACAAGATGAAGAGATGGAACTTATGTATTTAATACTTTAACCAATTTAGCTACACTTCCAATATTAAATAAGATTATTACAATCGTTTTTCTATATTGAAAATACTTGGCTCGTTAACCGTAAGAAGAAACTTTGTTCTCACTACTATCAAATATTTGACAATTAAGAGGGAGAAATACAAAAACATAGAACTTTAAAAAAAAATAATGAGTTACCAAATTTTCAATGGTGGTGAAAATAAAATTTGATTCTTAACGATAAAATGAGGGGGTAAACGTTAACTAATTTACCTTTTGGTGGAAAGTCAAATGCTGAGAAAGAGCTCGATAGATCACAAGACAGGGTCAGAGACTTCCCATTTTACGTTGAAAGAAAAGATTTTGAATTATTATCCATTTTTGTTTGGTCAAATTTTCCACTATACTCAATATCATTTATGCACTTTAATTTAGGGAGAAAATCAGTTTTTACGCTTAAACTTGATTGAATATATCGGGATTTTTTAAAATAAATGTTTTTTAAAAACAAATGATACAAATAATGTAGGTTTGAAAGTATTTTTTCGAAAGTAGGACAGTGAAATCGCTATTAACTTCTTTTTATTTTCAATTTTTACACTTCTAACGTTTTTTTTCTTCAATTTCTCTTTTAACCCTTTTTTTTTAAATTTAATGGTCTATTTTTACTTTTTTATTTTAATTTCATTTTCTCCTTTTAACTTCTTCTTATTTTCAATTGTTTGTTGTCGTTACTTACGTGTGATTCTTTTTATATAAATTATTATAGTGTTTAGTATAATCTAAGATTTATTGAAAAAATATGTTCTAGACGAATGTATGTTTTTACTTATAATAAAATAAATTATATTTTATAGGTAAAACAAATAATAAAATAAAATATTTTATTCGTAAAATAAATAAAAAACTACATAAATAAATATATAAATATTTTAAATGAAAATCGTGTTCATTGTAAGCGACTTTCCATAAATAGAAATTGCGTACAATATACGCGATTTCCTTGCTAATTCATTCTTCGAGGTCCATTTAATCTATGACATGTTGGCACCTAAATCGCATTCATTGTATGCGATTTTTGACTTTGACTAGCACCTAACCTATTTTTGTCAATAGTTTGAATGTATAACTTAAAATTTTGTAATTTTTTTATTTATACTACATTTATTTTGTTATTACCTTTAAATATACATTATTTTTGTAATTCGTTTTTTAAATTACATTATTCTTAAACTTTCTCCGAATATATCATCTTTTCGTAAATTCTCAGTGCCATCAAATGGAACATTCGACTTTGATGAGTGTTTGCATAAACAACATCTTAAATTTAAATAAGTATGGTAACAACATCTTACCTCATTAGACTTTTATCTAAAAAATTATTATTATATACATTATTATCTGTGTTTGATGTATATAAAATGTATATTTAATGTAAAATTAATGGAATTTAGAGAAAAACAGCACTAGAGTTATTTTGTTGAATTTTTTAGTTATGGGAA